GAAATCCTGAGAAAAAATTATGGCCTTGAAGCAGATGTTTGGATCGTAGGGGTGATTGTTTACATCTTATTAAATGGGGTTCCTCCTTTTTGGGTTGGTGAGTGATTAATATTTAAGGGGGATGCATTGAGTCCTATATGGGTAAAGTCAGTTATCTTTCTGAATAAACCATATGGATGAGACTAAAATGGCTATTTTTTCCTTACTTCCAAAAAAATCTCATTATTAATCAATCATATCAATATTCATCAATTTTAACGTTCTTATTCTTGTACTTTTTATGTTATATTGTGATAAATATATTACACAAATTACCATAACAAAATTTTATATTAATTGTTATAATTTGGTGATGGATATATAGAAACAGAGCAACGAATATTTGAACAAGTTCTTCATGGTGATATTGATTTCTCATTTGATCCATGGTAAAATATTTCTGATGGAGCAAAAGATCTTGTGAGAAGAATGCTTATTCGAGACCCAAAAAGGCGATTAATTGCAAATGAAGTTTTATGTGAGCCTTCAATTTGCGTACTAAAATACTATTTATAATAATTTTCTTTAGTTTAATAAGTTATATTCTAACTAATTGAATTTTTTTAGGCCATCGTTGGGTTCAAGTTGATGGTGTGGCTCCAGACAAGCCTATTGACTCTGTAGTTCTAAGTCGGGTGCATGAAACAATTTTCAGCCATGAACAAGCTCAAGAAAATGGCTATTAGGGTATCTTTAAATATTCAATTAAAAATGTATATAAGTATAAAAATATAATATAATAATAATATAATGTAGGTTATAGCGGAGAGCTTATCGAAAAAAAATAGTTGGACTGAAACAAATGTTTGAAATGATTGATACTGATAACAATGGTCATATTACTTTTGATGAACTTAAAGATGGATTAAAAAAAGTTGGTGCTAATCTCAATGAGTCAGAAATCTAGGATCTTATGCAATCACTAAGACTAAATATTTATTACAACATATTTTAGATTGATATATGTTGAAAATTTTTTGATTATGATTGCATGGTGAACTCAGGCAGATGTGGATAATAGTGGAACAACTGATTACAGAGAATTTGTTGCTGCAACATTGCATATCAACAAAATTGAGAAAGAAAATCATTTATTTGCAGTCTTTTCTTACTATAATAAAGATGGAAATGGTTACATTAGTGCCGATGAGCTTCAACATGCTTGTGAGGAGTTTGGCATAGATGCTCACCCTGAAGAGTTGATTCAAGATGTTGACCAAGACAATGTAACTTCCTTATTGCCCTTTCTGTTTGTCATGTTTACATAAGATAACAATACATTACATGACATGACAGAATATGAGAGTCATGTGGTTTACATACTAGGACAAGAGTTCAAGATCAATGTGTACGAGACAAAATTTGTTTTTTTGGTCCCATCCAAAAAGGTAGAAAAAGGACATCATGCTCTTTGACTTTTTTGTCAATGAAAAGACATTAATGCCATTCTTATCTTTTTCATTGAAAGTAACCGTATAAAGTGTTTTGTTCATGATAGATAACACTAGGGATGAGAATTTGGCCCGAAAAACCCGACCCGAACCGAACCAAATTAGACCCGAATAAGCAATTCGATTCGGTTTTCGGGTATCTATATAAGGCTTATTCGGGTTTCGGGTTATTCGGTCCGGGTTACCAGAATAAGGGCTTATTCGGTCCAAAATACCCGAATCGAATATGAAAACTGAAAATTCACGCTTTTTTTTGCCCTTCACGATTGCTTATTCAGTTTCAATGTTTTCTGTCGGATTCCATATTGCACCAAATCGATTGCTACCCCAAAAAAACCCACGTAATAAACCAAAACAAAATCAAGGAAATCGGATTCCATATTGCACCAAATCGAGTTTGAGTAGTCGACGACATCTCTTTGGCAATTGGCATTACTCCTTTCTTGCGAGTTGCGATATTAGTTTTTGATCGATAAGGACTTGCGGCTGCTACCTTGTTACTTGCGATATTAGTTTTTGATCGACCTGGACTCATTGATCGATCATTAATACTCCATTCAAGTTATGGAAAATTGGGTGCCAAATCAAGAAACTCAAGTAAGTTTTTGTATCTTAATCTACTACTCAATCTTTCAATGTGTTATTATGAATGTTATCAACTGAAATTTGAGTGTGTTATGTTAACAGTTAACATTTTCTCTATGTATGTTATCCTTGAATGAGAGAATTTAATGTAGAAAACAACCATATTTGCTCTTTTACTTGTTTCATTCCATAATATTAAAATGATTTTATTATTGTGCTTTAGATTGATGATGAATATGTGTTTGTTGATAACACTCAAGTTGAAGGAACAAGTCAAGCAACAAAGCCGAAGAAAATGAAATATGTCCAAAGGGCGGCTTGTTGGGTCGATTATGATGTAATTCATATTGACAAAGTTAGATATAGCAAATGCAAAAACTGTGGAACTTTGCTCGAAACTGAATCCGGCAGAAACGGTACTTCTAGTATGATTAGACATACGAAAAGATGTAGAATGAACCCAAAAAATTTAGAAAAAAAAGTAGAAAACCAAATCATTTTAAATTTAAAAAAAAAGTGAAATTGGGGAGAATAGTATTGGGACTTGGAAACATGATGAGAAAAGAATAAAAAAAGCTTTGTCAAACTTATTTGTAGTTGGAGAATTACCATTCAAGTTTGTAGAGAATGAATCATTTATTGAGTATATAAATGCATTGAACGGAAAAGTAGTTTTGCCATGTAGAACCACAATTTCAAATAGAGTCATCGATTACTATCTTGAAGAAAAGACTAAGTTGTTTAAGTTCTTTAGTAATCCCTTAAGTAATGTGCATTTGACCACCGATTGTTGGACAAGCTCATGTCAAAGGTCACGACCCACTTTATTGATGAAGATTGGGTCATGCACAAAAGAATTATCAACTTTAAATCTCTAGATAGTCATAAGGGAGAAGACATTGGGTGCATGTTGTTGACTTGTCTTCAAGAGTGGAGTATCACTAACGTAATGACCATAAACGTAGACAATGCTAGTTCGAATGATAAAGTAATCGAAATTCTAAAGAAAAAATTACCAAACTAGTATAATGGGGGGGAAACAATTACACGTAAGGTGTATGACCCACATCCTTAACCTTATTGTTAGGGATGGGTTTGATCAACACCAATCTAGTATCAAGTGCATGCAAAAGGCCGTTAAATACATTAAGAATTCTACACAATGGAATCAAAGGTTCAAAGAATGCATGAAAGAACTAAATGTGGAATCCAAGAAATTTTTGTGTAATGATAGCCCAACCCAATGGAACTCCACATACGATTTGTTGAAGATTGCGGTGGAGTTGGAGAATGTTTTTGGCATGTTTGAAGTCAAAGGTAATTTCATATTCCATTCCTTTTTTTTATTATTATTATAAATTTCAGCATGTTTGGAAATTTTTAGCCAACTTTGAACTGTCATAACGTCTTTGTTATTTGTTGGATTAGTTAATTTTTTCCCATCATATAGTTCACAATTTAAACTACAGTTTAGACTATTTAAATGCATTATTTGGTTATATATTCAGTGAGATACATGCCTTTAAACATAGGGTATTAAAGCTGAGTTTATTTCTTTCAGCATGTTTGGAATTTTGTAGCCAACTTTTAACTGTCATAACGTCTTCGTTGTTTGTCGGATTAGCCCAATTTTTTTCCAGCTTGTAGTTCACAATTTAAACTACAGTTTATACTATTTAAATGCATTATTTGGTTATATATTCAGTGAGATATATGCCTCTAAACATGGTATAGTAAAGCTGCTTTTTTTTTCAAAAAAAAAAATACTAACATTTACTTTATTATAATAGATCCTACATATGTTCGAGATGTTTTGACCCCCTCAAAAGACGATTTCAACATTTGTAGAGCTATGGTTGGATTTCTCGAAAAATTTAAAGTGAAAACCGACATAGTATCGACGTCAACAAAACCGATGACACATCATTTTTTTGGAGAAATATGTGATGTGCACAAACACATTAAGGAATGGGCGGCTAGTCCCCAATTTTGTTTGATCGGGAAGGACATGATTGACAAATACGATAAGTATTGGGGCAACCTTAAAATTTTTAATGATTTTTTGTATTTTGCGGTCATATTAGATCCACGGTTCAAGTTTGATTTTCTTCAACAAGCCTTTGAGAAGTTGATTAAGTTGAAAAATACACAAAAAGATCTCATGCTCAACTCGGAAGTCATTTTGAAGACTAAGGCCTTAATACGGGGTCTTCAACAATGATTTGAGAATTTTTTAATTTCTACAAATCAAAGTTCGACAATACCGACACTTCTCAAAATCAAACACATGGTTATGAAGATGTAGTTGTGATTGATGACGAAAATGAGTTCATGGGTGATTTAATAGTGCAAACTGATTACCCATCAGCATCAATGGAAACGGAGTTGATACGATACCTAAACGAGCAGTTAGTTAAATACAATAAAGATTTTGATATTCTACTTTAGTGGAAACACAATGCATCTCGTTACCATATTGTATCCTGTATGGCGAAAGGTATAACTTTATTATTTGTATACTTTTTTAATATATATATATATATATATATATATATATATATATATATATATATTTTAACATTTTCTATGTTTATGTTGATAGATATTTTGGGACTGCAAATCTCTACTGTGGCGTTAGAAGCGGCGTTTAGTATAAGCAGACGGATATTAGATCAATATCGAACAAATTTATCTGCAAATATAGCAGAGGTTTTGGTTTGCACCCACGATTGGGTAAGGAAATCAAGAAAGCCAATTGTGGACAACATTGATGACATTTTGAAAGACGATGAGGTCGCGAAATATTTAGAAGAGGCGATAAACAATAGAGATGGAAATGGAAAACAACCAATTAATATTCCCAAATAGTTAATTCGTGTTTGGAAAATGTTATTTTGGATATGGTTAAAAACTTAATATTTAGATTTTTGGATGTTTTGGGTGTTTTGAAGATTTTGGATATGGTTAAAAGCTTAATGTTTAGATTCCCGAATAACTATATCTTAAGATTTTGGTTTTTGTATTTTTCATTTTAATCAAGAATATTTAATCCATGTTATCCGTGTTTATATTCTTAGTACACAAATTCTAACTTTTTTTTGCACATTTGGAACAATTATATATACTTTGTATTATTTTTAATTAACAAATTTGTTTCTTTAAAATATTTGTTAAGAAATCATAAAATACAAAAATCATACAAAATACAATAGTTATAATCACATTGTAAATGTTAATCGGGTTATTTGGGTTATTCGGGTTACTCGTGTTATACAATAATAATATGGTATTAATCATCTTGTACATGTTATTTGGGTTATTTGGGCCGGAACCGAACCGAACCCGTATTATTTATTTGGTTCAGTTAGACCCTTATTCGGTTCTCGGGTTATTCGGGTCGGTTCTGGCCCGAATAACATCCCTAGATAACACTATCATCTTTGATTTTTTTTTTCTTTTTTTTTTTTTTTTTCAGGATGGACGCATAGACTACAACGAGTTTGCGGCGAAGATGCATGGACATGCCAATATGAATGTGGGTGCTAAGAAAAGCTTAGATACTAGTTTCAACACTAAGATTACAAAAGCACTAAAACTATGAACATAAAAGTTTTTCAATTTTTTTTCTTGTTTATTCATTAATGGTTATTTGTTGAGAAATCATACGAAGATATAGGATTAAATAGTTGTTTGTTATACCAATCGAGATTCGGGTGTCAAACTCTTGCAGTTTTGAAGTTCAACTTGTTTCTGCAAGTCTACACAAATTATATTTGTCTTATATACATACAAGTTATTGTGATAGAGAGTAATGATGATACGATTCTTGTTCATTTTTTTGAGTGAGTATTGATTTTGTAATATATAATAACAAAAAATATTCTCTAAAACTTTATATCTAACATAAATAATTGCACTGCGATGGAAACTAGATGTGTTATATTATACATAATTAATCAAGTAAAGAATTTATATCGGTTATCAGAACAACTTCGTATCAAGATATGATTTGTAATGGACTTTGGTTTTCGGTTTGAAGATAAAAAATTGGATAAACCATAAAATAAAATAAAAATAAACGATGAAAGACTTACAAATAGTGATGATTTAATAGAAATCCAACTTTTAATTTTTTTTTCTTCTATTGAGTTGTTCTTTTTAGGGAAAATGATATAAAAGCCCTTAAGTTTTTACAAAAATATCGGTTTTACCATTGGACGTGTTTTAGGTCCAGTAAAACCCGAAATTTTGTTTAATTTGTTCATTTTTACCCTTATAGCCGGTTTCCAGGTAACCTATCGGTTACCTAATATTAGTAAAGTCCTTGAATTTTAAAAAATATTTGGATTTACTCTTAAGTTTTTCAAAAATATTCGAATTTACCCTTACATTGATTTTTATTTAGATTATTATTATTATTATTATTATTATTATTATTATTATTATTATTATTATTATTAATTTTTAATACATTTTTAAATGTATAAAAATATTTTATACATACATTTTTAAATGTATGTAAATATTTTTACTAATATAATTATATTTTTAAATGAAATAAATATATATTTATACCTACTATATACAAATAAATATGTATTTAATGGAAGACATGGTAATTCAAATGTATATAAATACTAAATACAAATATATATATTTATATTAATAAAAATATTTATATATATTTAAAAATGTATGTATAAAATATTTTTATACATTAAAATGTATTAAAAATACGTAGTAGTAGTAATAATAATAATAATAATAATAATAATAATAATAATAATAATCAAAATAATCAAAATAAAAATCAAGGTTAGGGTAAATCCGAACATTTTTGAAAAAATTAAGGGTAAATCCGAACATTTTTGAAAATTCAAGGGCTTTTCTGGCCTTAGGTAATCGGTAGGTTACCTGGTAACCGGCTACAAGGGTAAAAATGAAAATATTAAACAAAACTTCGGGTTTTACTGGACCTAAAACACGTCCAAAGGTAAAACTGATAATTTTGTGAAAACTTAAGTGCTTTTATGTCATTTTCCCTTCGTTTTACATTAAATGTAAAACATTTCATTAAAAAAAAAAAAACATAAACATACATGGTATAAATGATAAAGAAGTTTATCTTTATAAGTAAACTTCTTTATTACACACGCATATCATATATATTTGTCTTTTTATATAAAGGGACGAGAAAAAGAATTTGAGACGTAACAATGTGCACCAAATATGGACGTTATAAACATACCTATTTCATCTTATAATAAATATAGGATTGGGAAAAATACTGACTTTTAATAAGATATTTGAGTATCAATCAATAGCTAAATTGCTTTTCAATAAATAAGAAATTGTAAAACATATCCATGAAATTCATATTATTGGTAACAAGGTTATCAAGATCGAGATCCTACCTATGATCATTTTTGGGTTTGCAAGATCGGGATCGAGATCTTAAGATTTCACAAAATATAATATAATTTTCATTTACAATATTTAATCAATAAAAATATTTCAAATATTTAATTTTTTGTTCAAAAATTATAAAAACTTTAAAATATTAGTAATAAGTCACAATAAAGAATAATAAATGGTAGACTGGTAAAAGGTAAAAAACATAAAGTGGTAAAAACAAATTCATTTGCATAAAAAAAAATCAAAGGAGGGTATGATCGGATCTCGATCCTACGATCTTACCCCAAATACGATTCTTTTACAATCCGGATCGTTTTTCATACCTAGGATCGTACGATCGTACGATCTTACAATCAGGATCGCGATTTTGACAACCATGATTTGTACCTTGTTTTATTTTTTAAAAAGAATTAATGATATATAAATATTCATAAAAAGACTTTATTTTTTCGGCAAAACCACTTTTGAGAAAACACTTCCATTCATTCTTAAAATATGCTTTGGCTAAAAAGTTTAACCAACAAAACTTCCCCGCCATGGGATGTAATGGGAGGGAAAAGTTTTCGGTTTTATCAATTTACATATTGCTCCCCGTACGATATTACCTATTGTCATTTTGTTACCAAGGTTTGCCTAAATTCCATTGTTATAGTATGTTAACTTGGCAAGACAACATTTAATAAAATCACCACCAAATTGCGAAAAAAGTTAATAAATTTGCGAGAATAATTTTTATGACATTAGAAACTATCTATCACAGAAAATCGTGAATTTTAGTTATGGGTTCACGAATAAACAAAAAAAAAATGGATAATTCACAAGGGTTAATTTTTGCAAGTAAATTAAAAAACACAAACTTTTAATTAAAATTCACAAGGAACTGAAAAGTAGGATTTTTTAAAAAATGTGTTAAAATTTGGTAAGGATAAATATTTATAACAAACATTGACAAAATAAGGTATGATTAAAATGGTTAAGATACATTTCAGTTGGACCTTTATTTGTTTATATTTGTTAGAAATGTTTATTTTAATCGTTTAACTTATAAAAAATATATTATTTTTGTGAGTTATTCATAAATTTAAGCATAATCATTAATTTGTTGCTAAATTAATGAATATCTTGTAAGAAAAGGTATCCTCATAATTTCCGAAGTGTTTTTTCTTAAGCAGTTTAGATGATTATTTTATGATAAAATAATACTTATTTCTTACACATGAATCGAACATTTTTTTATTGATTCATTATCAGTAGATATTTTATATTTAATGGGAGATGAAACTGTTTGTTTGTTACCAATACATTTTAACCATATAAATTTCAATTTATTAACGTTATTAAAAAAAGATTCTTAGTTTCATTATATAAATACAACTAATACATTTTTGCATTATACTTTTTATTTTACAATCTTGGGGTATTTTATCCAATTCAAAGATTTTATATTGGTAACCATTTTTAAGATGATAAAGAAAAATCAAGTAACTTTGAGTTTTTTTGTTTACTCTCCGATTTAATCACACATTTATAGAAAATTTAAGGCAGTTACACTTATATCAAGCCTTAAAAGTATCATTTATCGGATGAATGAAAAAGACAATTTGAATATTTTTTTTATAGGGTATTGGGAAAAATGAAGTTCCGTAAAATTAGAACAAATCCACATGGATGTTTTATGATTTTAGTTTCCAAGGTAAATCGTCTTCCTTCTAGATAGGTTCGGTTTCTATTATGAGTGATAGACAATGAAATATTTGAAAGAAAATTTATATATAAACCATTCACTATCAATTACTTTTTTTTAAACATATCGTGTTTATTACACCTAAAATATAAAAAAAATTGTTGATGTTTACAGTGGATGACCGATGATACATATCACGATATCGCTTCCTATTATGTAAGTTGGGGTATTAAAAAAACAATTTAGAAAGTTTGGAGAGAAATTGAACCATAAGTAAAGGGAATTTTACAAAGAGGTGTTTTATGTAACTAATACTAATCTAAGGGGTCTTTTTGTAACTTTAACCGGAATATTCGCCTCCCATTTTCTCTCTCCAACGCTCCCTGCCTTCAAAGCATTTAAAAAAAATATAAAAATTAAATCCATAAGCCGTATTTGTGTCTGCGCTCAGATAAAAACCCTAATTTCCCACTCTTTCTCTCTCCACCGCTCAACTTTCTCTCTCTCTACGCAATTCCTCATTCGGCAGCTCGAGCTTCTCCTATGGCGACGGCGGGCGACGGTGCGACTCCATACCAAAGCGGCGGAGCCGGGGGGAAGTTTCGGAAGAAGCCTATTCGGCGTAGTGGTCTGGCGACACCGTACGATCGACCTTCTACCGCACTCAGGAACAAGAGCCCTAGCCTCTTCGCGAAACTCGTAGACCCGGCGTCTAGGCTCATACACGCTGGGGCTGATAGGTTCTTCGGCGTATTTCGTAAGCGGCTTCCTTCCATCGCTGCACCGCGTCCGCCAGGTTCAATATATTTGTTACAATTAGATTGCTTTTTTCATTTTCTTGCGATTTGAATTTATTTTTGGGATTTGTGGATGTACAGATTTTTTTTTGTATGATCGTTGTCGGAATTATATATGTTTCGTGTGACTTTAGGCCTGATTTGGTTGTATTGGCTGATTTCTGATCTTTTATTTGCTCCGTTTTTATATTGCTTAAATTTTTACCATATAAAGGGCGTATCTTTAGAGTCACTTCTTATAAGCTCGACATGGTGTGCTCTCTTGCTGCCGCATTTTAAGCTGCGTAGGTTTAATATTGGTTTAGAAAGAACTCATCTTAGTAATCATTGGCATTCCTTTAGAATTGAGTGGTTTTTATTTTGTATGAACTGAGCTGCTGATGGGTGGTGTCTTGATTCGATCGGGTTTAGCATTGCTGAAGGCTTTTTATACAATTTGTTAGTTTTTAGAGTGATATGTCCCCGAATGGGAACAATTTTTCTTCGATGTATTAAGTTTGTAGTCATGTTGGTGAAGGGGAAAATTTGGTAGGGGAGTGGAATTGAAAAGTTTTGGTTTATTGGTCTCTTTAACATTGTTCAGTTTCATAAGGCCTCCAATAAACAAATGATTAGGGTTTTCTTATGATAACGACTATGAAAAATATATCTTGCAATTGGAAAGGCCATCACAATATCGTTTATACATATACTTCATTTGAAGACTGTTTGTTTTCTGTATATCTGTAATTCATTACCATATGTTTTAATGCACAGCATCACTAATGCTTGTATATTTGTTATTCGTGCTTATTACATTATCTACATAAGCTCCAGCAAGACATAAACTGGATAGAGTGGTAAGGGAATTTGGAGGAATTTGATAATACTAGAAGTAATTAACTCAATATCAACTATGGATCATAATATATTTATCTAGTAATGAATGTAAAACATATCTCTTGTTATAATACAAGTCAGGTTAAATATGGACAACCAAGCGAGTCTTTTATCATAAATTCATAAAACTATGCCATACATTGCAACTTCATGTCATTTAAGTTTCAATATTTTCTGCGGATTTATATTTTTCTAATATGAAATTGGTTTTTTAAGCTCTACATTTATTTGGTCTTCATGTTGGCTATGCCATCCACATTACATATTCTTTATATCACACTGATTTATCTCTTTTTAATGCTCGCAATATCCCTTACAAAAGTTCTCTTGTGCTCAGAGACCCTTGAAGAACCGGATCCTAGCACCGATGAAGGTGGGAATTTGGCTAGCATCTCTGCTTCCACTGAGATATCAGAGCTTGAGAATATTCTGAAACAGAAGACTTTTACTAGGTTAGCTCTTTTGTTTATGAGCATTATCTTTCTTTCTGTTTGGCCAGTATTGATGTGATATACCATTTCAGATCTGAAATCGAGCATTTGACAGCTTTGCTGCATGCAAAAGCTACCAACTCAGATGACGATGACGGGGATAAAGCAAAGCTTCCCAGCCCATCATCTCATTTTCTGAGGCTTGAAGCATCCACAAGCAGCCCACATAATAAGCATGTGGAAGAGAGGGAAAACATTCATGCTATTACTTCAACTCCTGTTGTCACTTCAAGAGTGAGTTGTATTTGTATGAGTGTGTTCCTTTGTTTAAAGATGTTGCCAAAAGGGTTTATGCTTTGTACTGATACAATGTAAATATATGCTATCTACAGACATTTGAAGAGGATGTTGCTTCACCAGCTGAGCTTGCAAGGGCTTACATGGGTACAAGAGCACCCAAAGTGTCACCATCAACCCTGAGATTTGGCAGCCAAGATTCAGCATTGCTTAATACCACAGCAATCCTCCCCCAAAACACCCATCACATCACTCGTACCAAGAACTACAGGAACCTTCAAAGGTCTTGAAAATGGTTTTTTGACAACCCCAAGATCAAGAGGCAGATCAGCAATATACAGCATGGCACGCACACCATATTCCAGACCACCTTCAACTTTTGGCCAAAAGGTATAGATAAACCCACCACTTTAGATACCCTTTGACCTTTTTTTGCATTGTCTCAATATCTGCAATTGATTTCATTTCAGGGTATGAATTCACCATCATTGCCATTGTCTCAGCCTGCTTGGGAACAAGAAGGGTCAATTGAATCAAGCAAAATGGTATCCATCTATATATATATGATCTAATAATCTAGTTGTTTTGTAACATTTGAATTTATGTTGACTTGTTAAGCTTTGGTTCAGGCTTCTAAGCGTAGGAGCTCTGTGCTAGATGATATCGGGTCTGGAGGCCCGGTGCGTAGGATTCGACAGAAAGCTAATCTTCTTTCTCAAGGAAGTCCTCTTTCAAAAAACACAAGTGAATTCAGGCAGAAACTGCTTTTAAGAAATGAAGCTGATTCTAAAAGCTTCAAGGCAATTGAGGAAAACGGGGAGACTAGCAGGTCTAGTTTAGGTTATGCATCTGTCCCTACAAAGTCGACTCAAATGGCTACAAAAATATTGGAACAACTTGAAAGATTGAGCCCAAAGGAGAAGTCTCCAGGATCCAGGCTTACTCGAATGAGTGAGAAATCGCCCTTGTCACCACAAGAGAAACTAGATTCTTCACCCAAACTTATGTCAAGTTCTGAAGATAATAAAAAACCAGAAAGTTTGTTTCCTGATGCTCGTGAGTCAACCACCTCCCAGACCCAGAGTAAAGGTAAAGAAAAAGTTGAAGAAAATGGGCCTAAGAAGTTTGCTGTCCCTCGAAATGTTCTGAGCACTATGAATGGGAATTCTGGTGTATCTATAAGAGATAACGGACCAGCAGAGTCTACATTCAAGCTGCCAGCAGAGCCTCCCCAGAAGAAGCGATTCCAGATAAGTGCACATGAGGTATGTTACATCATCTGTATTCAACTTATGTAATGTCTTTACAAAATTATGCTCTTAATTGCTATGTTTGTCTTGTGAAGGATTATCAGGAGGTAGTGGATGATGATACCCATTCTAATGGACATGTGTCTACTATCCCATTTGGTCAAAACAAGAAACCGGAAACATCTGCTGAAGTCATTCAAACTCCTCCAGTTGAGAAAATCCCAGGAACGCAAAAGACTGATGATGCTAAATCTCTTCCAAAAACCAGTTTTAAATCTGTCGATGGTTCTGTTGTTAATAAGAAGGTGGCATTTAACTTGCCTGCAAGCAACAACAATGCTCAGCCTCAGCCAGCCGCAATAACAGATACTGTTTCTCCACAGAAGAAAGCAACAGTTTTTCCAACATTTGGTGGTACCACAAAAGTTACTGAGAACGTGTCACCATTCTTGTTTTCTGCTAATGAGCCTTCAGTATTCAAACCAAATGCTACCTCAGATGCAAAACCGCTTGGCTCAACCAGGTAATGATAAATTTTTGCAAAAATGATGTTGTTTGTTGCATATAATATGACGAATCTCATGTGTGTGTTGTGTCACGTTTTCTTTTGGTGCTGTGCAGCATGTTTAATTCTGTTAATAAGGAAAGCAATCAAGTCCAATTCCCAGCATCCAAAAAAGATGACAATGGCAATGCTCTGATCAATAATAAATCAGAATCTTCACCTCCATTGGCACCATCATCGTCATCAACAAGTGGTGTATTTTCATTTGGTGCCAAGAATACAAATATTACCAATGGTTCAATTTCAACCCCATCTACATTTGCTCCCTCCTCTCCTTTTTCAGCTTCTTCTACAAACAACCTTTTCAGTGTTAGCACTACTGCTTCCTTGCCATCCACCACCATGTCAGCCGCCAGTGGTGTTGCCCCTGCCCCTGCCTCACCCATCTTTAGTTTTGGGTCTGTAATCACTTCAACTAAATCTGCAGAACCTCCAAAAGAGACCACCGCAGAACCAAAATCTGACACCACCACCTCGCCTTTTGGTACTCCGACCACCACCACCGGAGGAGGTAACATGTTTGGTTTCAGTTCTCCAGCAGCCACCAACAATCAGGGATTCCTTTTCAATGGCGGCACCAGTGGATTTCAGACATCTTTTGGTGGGACTACCGCAGTCCAGTCGTCTACTTCAGGGGGATCCCTATTTGGTTCCTCTGTTCCTAGTTTTGGTCTGAGTTCCACTGTTGCCACATCAGAAATAAAATCTGGTAGCTCCACCACTACCACCACCAACGTAACACCTAGTTTTGGTCTTAATTCAGCATGGCAGCCTCCCAAGTCTTCACCTCCTACAACATTTTCCTTCGGGGCATCTTCATCTTCAACATCCACTTCTCCTAGTCCCTTTAATAATGCTTCTACAGGATCTTCCCTGTTTTCATTCTCTGCTACAAATTCAGCTTTCCCAGCTCAATCTACATCTGTTTTTGGAAACTCGACCCCTGTTTTTGGATCTTCACCCAACAACAATGATCAGATGAGTATGGAAGACAGTATGGCTGAAGACTCCACACCCACTCCTTCTCCTTCACTTCCTGCATTTGGACAAGCTAGTGCCACACCCACACTAACCCCCGGTTTCATGTTTGGTTCAGGCACCCCGACATCATCAACGGTTCCCTTCCAGTTTGCTGGCCAGACGAGCCAACAACCACAGAATCCTTTCCAGACAAACCAGACACCATCTCAGAATAATCCTTTTCAGTTGTCTGGTAGTGCAGAGTTTAGTGGTGGAGGAAGTTTTTCATTGGGCTCAGGTGGAGGTGACAAGTCTGGTAGAAGGATTTTGAAAGTTAGAAACAGCAAGAACAGGAAGAAGTGACAAACTTAATAAAAAAAAATATTACTTGGTGAGATGTCTGAATGCCAGAATTTGTTGCGTTTTTATGTACCATTGTGGTATTATAGAATATAATAGATGTTAGGGAAGGATATGATGTTATATCTCATTTTTGGAGCAAGTTTTTTTTACAAGGGCTGCTTTTCCAGATTTCATATCAACGTGCCAAGTCATATCTTTCTTGCTTTGTACTGTAAAAACGTACAAACCTAAAACCTATCAATCAAAGTTAGAGCCGTAATGCTTCTACGGCTTGTATCTTTTTCATTCAAACTTTTTTACTTTAGATTTACAAGGTTTCTCTGTATCCACCTATAAACAAACATATTTAGTAAACTTTTGCGTTGTCATCGTTCTAGAACATTGATCATCTAAACTTGTATTTCATTATGTCATTGCAACCTCAAGCTCAGATCTACGGTGTTTTACCATTTTTTTTTTTTTTAAATTACCCAACTTTGTAAACCTATCGGAATCTGCTTTTTTGATTACTCATTTTTTTTAGACACCAGAAATTTGCTAAAAATACAAAGTTTGAGAGCATCTTATAACTGAGATAATTTTATATATATCCTTTACTAACTTCTTAAATATCATATTTACCTAAATTCTTTTTTTTAAACAATTTGTAATCATGATTTTTTTATTAAATAACTATTATACCCTTATTATAAAGCTACATTTAAAATATTATTTTCCATTTTTACCCTTTTTTTAAAAACACGTAAACAACCATTTACAAATCAAGTATATATGCAGAAGCAAATCAATACATACATCCGCCATTTAAACGAACCATGATTTTTTTTTTTTTTTTTTTTTTTTTTTTGACATTGTTAAAACCAAATGTGAAATAATGGACTGTGAAAAGTAAAGCTTTTCATGAAGCATGATTAGACACACTTTTTTTTTCACATATCCAAACTAATTGCACAGGAACAAAAAACCAAAGGAGATCAATTAAAACCCATCTTTGTATCTCGGTGCATACCGATCAAAGGATAAACGATGGAAAATCAATAGAAATTAAGAAGCAATTGCAGTAGTGCCATAGAATTCAAAGAGCAGCCCAAATATAATTAAAGGATTCAGACCCAAAAAAGTTTAAACAGATGGAATTGTTCATCTGCCTCTTTTAAGGATGAGATGGATCATGGAACAATGGATATTTTTTAGTAAGAGGGAGAGAAAATACAACCAGCTCCGAAGTAAGTCTAATACTGTCAATCTAAGTTATTTTAATAATTAAAATGATTTAAAAAAATTGTTAAAAATGTTTAAAAAATGATTTGTACAAATATGATATTTAGGATGTTTAAATAGGGCATATATGATATTTAAAAATTAATCAGGACAAATACGATACTTCATAGTTTATTTAGGGCATATACGAAAATTTTCCTTTAACTTGGGTTGAAACCAAAACACTCCCATATAAGTACACCTAGGGGTAAAATGGTAACAAACAACCCAGGCATCGATTAAAACACCAAATGAAGGGTTTTCATGGAAAAAACACTTAAAAGACAAAAAAAAAGCTACTAATAAACGAGGCCAGGCTTTCTTGGACCAGAACCAGGCCTGCTTTGCATGGCCAATCCCGGGTCCTATTACGGGTAACCGGGCTGAAAGCAATGCCCTTGTTTAAGACAAGTCTGCAAGATCAGAAAGTCCTATTCATGCATGCATTGTACAAAGCTTGATAATCTAGCAACACCCCAAACTCATAACAACTTACACGCTAGCAAAAGTCCAAATTAGGCTGTGTTTTGCACGCATAAGCTGGCTTATTTTTTAAAGCTTATTGCAATTTAGAATGTGGTGAGACCACAAAAATAGCTTTTAAGCCGAAGCACACAAACTTAATCAAATTTGACATTAGTAATGAGCACCAGAACTGTTATAAACTCGGCCATGAGGGTGCTGAACCCTTGATTCATAGCCTTGACTTGTCATGGGTTCCCGTGAATGTTCACGATACTGAGGATGCTGATGCTGATGCTGATACTCTCTGTAAGACGACTCATCTGGTATTGCTCCGTAGTTGTCATACCGCCTACGTGCTTCCCTAGCCATCCCCCCAGGTGGGCCCCTTTCTGTCATTGCATTTGCAGCTTGTTGATAATGATGCAACCGTGTCTCTGATTCCTTTCCAACAAACTCTCCTACTCGTGACATATGTTGGGCTCTAAGTGAACACAGATTCTCTTGGTATCGCATATTGATCTCTACTATTCTCTGAAAAAAAAAAACAAACAAAATGGTGACACACGGACTAAAACTGTAATTTAACTCTTACAATTATATGATGAAAATTCTATAAGATATGAAATAACAGAATAAAGTAACCTCTTTGTGTCTAGCATTTTCTGCATCCTCGGCATTGTTTAGATCTTTTATTAATTTCATTATCTCATCTTGGAATCTCTGCTCCATTCCTTCAAAACTTAATTGAGGAGTGTAAGTGTTGTCCTCATACCCAACTTCCATTTCTTGCTCATGTGACTGTAGTCTCGTTTCCTTATTTGCTTGATTCTCATAATTATTGAACTTTTGATTTCCCATCCTTTCTTGGGACTGGATCTTCATGTTTCCTTTATGACCTCCTTCACAAATTGGAATGCATGTAAGTATCCATCACCAAAACTAAATGGTTTTCTTTTAGTTTTTAAATCAGAATTATTAATGAAGGAAATACTTACCTTGGGAATATGAATGAGGGGACATTGGATTTAATTCAATCTGTGGGTTTGTAATTGTATTCCACTGCTGTCTCCCATCTCCTCGAAATGGAAATTGAGGTGTTTGAGCATGTTGTTGCATTCTCTGTGAAGACGCATGAGATTGAGAACCACCATATCTGTTCACACTTGCATCACCATATGGTGTCTGCCTGTTCATCTTCTCCTTTTACTCAAAAAACAGCAACACAATCAATCATACTTAAATCAGTATTCCAATCGCAGTTACATACTTACATCAACAAACATTTCATACATAAATCAGTAAGTCAGTAACTCAGTATCCGATTGTGGTAACAGATGAGTATTTCGATCTTTTGAAAAAAAAGTATATCGATACAAATTTCATATGTTGTCTTACCTCCCAAAAACCCTATTTAGATACAACAATAAAGATGCAATTACTGTTCCATTTCACGTAAGTAGGCATATATATATGTATACTGATAAAACTGTTTGTGTGTTTGTGTGCGAGGGAGGGAAAATGAAGCGAGGCAAAACAACAAACATGTGGTGTGCAAATAAAAAGGCTGTACAAATAAGGCCAGAACGTCCCAAGAAACGCAAAAACCTGAAAACCTAATCAGTGAGGCATGCGAATGAAGATTAATTTTAAACAAAATATGTTTCAATATGTTGAAATTTTAAATCTACTCAAACAGAAAAGAGAGAAACAAAAGTGAAGACAAACCTCAAGCGAAGGATGATGCACGAACTTTTCGGCCCGAGTTCTTCGAGAAAGTTGGTGGGTTTGTGCAGAAATAAGAAGAAATTACAGGCGATAGATCGTCTGGTTTGATATAGTTTTGAAATTAATGGCGAGACGATGACGAAGATTGAAGTTGTGTTGTAACAAGGGTTCTTTGGACTGCTGATGTAAAACATCTCATGGCCTTTTACAAATAAAAATGAGTTTTATAAAACTAAAATGTAATGAATTGATAAATTGTTTTTAATGATATATTATTGATTTTTTTTGTTTTATTATACATTAAATTTTATTTTATATCATTTATAGTAAAATTTTGACAAAAGTACATGTTAATAACATTAGATAAAACATATATTTTTCAAGTCCATGATTATTTTCATAATATATCATAAAAAAATAATCGTTATAACACAACCTTAAATACTAATAATATTTAGAAATTATGATCTTCAAAAATCGATATAAATAGTATTAAACAAATATATTTATTTACTTCAGACCTTCGGGAATCATCTCTCATAATAATGGGGGTTTAGAGGGGGCAAAGTGGACAGTTGTACATGATCCAATTTTTTTATTATATATTTTTATTTAAAAACATAAAATTATAATAAAGATAAGGGTTATTTTTTTTTGTTCGTTGGGATCTTTAAGAATATTTTATTTTTCAGGACCGCTCCTCCTCCTAATACACTCATAAATAGATATAGAAATTGATAAATTTATTTGTTTTATATCGTTATATTAGCTTATAAGATCTTACTTTATGTTGAACTTGGGTCTTCCAAACAAGCAAACGCCTAACGGCTATTCTACGTGCAATTCTTCCATCGAACAAGTTTATGCAAATACGGGCTTTTATCTACATCACAAATACAAACATCTTTTACTTTTGTCAAGTGGTATACCGTTTTTATACACATTTTAAGGACAACTCTCTCAGAGTTTAACGATTCCATAACCCTATTAATTGTTAAGTACTTGTGTGTAAGACCAAAAGTTTATTAAAACACATAGTTTGGAGTTAATATAACTCCATAAACAATAATCAAAGCAAGGTCAAAACATTAATTCATAAGCAGGGCAGACCTAGGAGTGGTCTACGGTGGCACTGACAACCCCTAACTTTTCCAGCCGTCGTGGAAAAGTTTTCAAAAATTTTATTTTTTCTATTATTGTTCAATCCCTACTATAAAATCCTATGTCCGGCCCTATTCATAAGTTCGGGTGTCAAACATAGTTCCTATGAATTGATACAATTTGTGATCTATGCAATACACAATTGCGTATGTTATCCTTGTACTCTATACGTTATCCATCACATAACTTCTCGTAGTCAAGATAGCAACATGGAGTATAAACCCGAAATAAATCGAGAACAGAAGACATGTTCTTCGCTCCATCAGTAAAAAAAAAAAAAATAGTAAAAATGCTATTTTACATGCTCTTAACTTCAGAAATCAATGAAATGGAAAAATGACCAGAGTTAAAACAAAGCCTACCAATACGATTTAAAAAAAAAAAAAGAATTCATTTATGAGGTAAACATTAAAAATTGACAAAACACATCGTTAGAGAAGTAACAAAATCGTTGAAGGTTGAAACTACAACATCGCGATTCGCGAGAGGGGCATACCTCACAGGCAAACAGGAAACCATGTGGAAAACAGCTATGGCGCGCGCCACCAGGGCTCTTCGGTCGCCGTTGCAGGGAATTACCAGCACACCTTTCGGCAGCCACTACTCCTCCAGCAGCAAATCTACTTCATCTGCCGTTGTTAACTCCATGATTCTTCGTTCTCTTAAAGAACACTACACCGAAGTCTCCAAAATGGCTCCTCCCCCTGTAAGTGCACATCTCAATCTCTAACTGTAGGGTTTACGATGGCTTATATTGAAAAACTGA